AACTCCAATTAAAGAACGATCTCTGAGGAAATCAGTGTTTGAAACAAAGTCCAAGATAAAGACATTTCCCGAAACTTCTAAGGCTCCCTCATCTACACGACACTTGTCCTAGATACAAATGTAACTCTTCAATATCGAACACAGAGAAGTTTAGGTACTGAAGTCTATTTAGCTCATATTCCTTTAGCTTAAACATCTTCAGTGATTTTGCTCTTGCCAGTCGAAACAGGACCTCAGATATATCCTTCAAACACACATTGAGTATGTTTAATTCTCACAACTGAGGAATCATTTCAAAAACATTTAGTGGCAATAATGCTAAACTGTACCGCGAAAGAGACAAATAGTTCAAGATCTAGATCTAAATCAAGAGCTACCTCACAACAGATTTCTAGAGACAAGAAAGACAATGTTAATGAAGTTACATTGGTCAATCCATTAAAAGCCTCTGGAAGGATCTCTGAAAAACATCTAATTTCGAGGTATTCCAAAGAAACAAAGCGTGAGAATGAGTCTGGAGCCAAGGCACCATGACAGTCTCGTTCCATTTGATCACCAAGTTTAAGCAAGTTTGATGGAAGTCCACGCAGATCTTCTTTAACGTCAGTGACATGATGGCACTCAGCAATGTTTGTTTTTCCAGCACAGGTTGTGGCAACAGGAAACTCTTGCATATCACTGTAGAACAGGCATTTAACAGCAAGCCAAGAACATACACATGAAGTCTTCAGAAACAATATGAAGAGTGAGAAAAGAGGCACCATCTTCCATTCCTCAACGATCATGTAATTAACCATGTCAGAACATTTGAGCAAGAACTAAACTTCCCTTTTCTGTTTCCAAATTCTATTAATGTGTGACTCTTAGTCTCTTGCCTTATGTCTCTGTTGTATTAACACATACATATGAGAGCTTAAAGGGAAGTTCAGTCATCATTTTTTATTCAACGTCATGTCCTATCTTTCTCATATGGATAGTAAAAGATATTTTAGAAAATGTCACGGAAGTCAATAGGCACCAAAACTGGCTATCAACATTCTTCATCAAAATATCTTCGTTTGTGTTCCACAGAAGCACAAAAGTCATGCTATTTTGGAACAACATGAGGGTGAGCAAATGATGACAATTCTCTTTTAGGTTAAAGTTCTGAAAGACCATTTAGCCATTCTGAGCTGATTATTATTCAGCAGAATCATTTGATCAAATTCCAACAATTTGTAATATTTATTGGACGAAGGTTAATGAAACCTTAAATAAGCTGATTTAAGAGCAATCTCATAAGAATTATCCTCATGCAGGGTATAATACATTCCCAACATAATCAGCTTCTGGTGTAGTAAAAAAAATCATGACATTTTAAAGTCTGTTAGGATCAAGATCTGACATCACCTTTTTGAATATATATATATATAAAAAAAAAATTGTTTATTTTGTTTTGCATATAAATACCACCAACAAAATGAAAAAAAGTCAAACATTGCATGAAATGCCAATCAAATTTTTTTCAGAGCTTGTAAGCAATGTTTATGTTAATGTTTAAATGTTAAGTAATTTAAAGCAATTAAAGAAAAAATAAAGAAAGAAATCCCTATTGTTTTGGTCCCCATGCACGTGGAAAAATACTATTGCTCAATCTTGGTAACATTTTGGTAATAAAAAGGCTTACAATGTAAGTATACATTTTCTGTACTATACATAAATAATTTAAAAAACAAAACATTAAAGGTCCATTACAATTATGTGTATACAAAGTAACATTTAAATAAATTAGCTTACATTCAACCTACTAGACATATGTAATATATGTTTTCTTAAATTATTAAATATTTCACTTTTATTACATTGGTGTTGGAATTTCTAGCATTTTTAGGGCATTTGAGGAGAGTCAGCGTATTTCAGTAAATATGCTGAATCTAAGGTATATTAATTGAAATTTGAAGACCAAAAACAAAACATAACACAAAATACACAGACAAAACACAGCTTTGTGTTAGTAAACCTGTGGGCATACTCAACGTAAAAACCATGTTTTTTTTTTATAATGTGGGAAAGTGCATCCACTTGTCTCGACTGGGGTTGAGTTTATCCATATACTCTCTGGTTGAGCTTGAATAGCATGTTCAAAGTTCCTGCCTCCAGAAGGTCAGTGCTGACCGCTCTGGTTACACAGGCTAGCAGAATGATGTTTGGCTCACAACTTTGTACCTTTGTCCTTATTCTCAGTGTTGCCATTCTCATCAGTGTGAAAGCCACCATTCTCCAAGGCGTAATTCTGCTTATCCTGATCCTCAACTGTGCTCCGTGCGCCTTCCCCATCCTCCTCTGCCGATGTCCCTCGCCTGCAGCGCTTTATAGAGTAATAAACTGCAAATACATCAAGGGACATCATGATATGACTTAGCAACATTTTAAATTAAAATGAATGTTATGATTTCCAAAACAAGCAATCATATTTCCAATGAGTAAATGCAGAGTGAACAAGAGTTTCTTCTTACGTCCTATCGCAATCCCAGCTACAACCAGTTGAAAGATACTGTAGATTAAGGGGAAAGCGAACATGAGCTCAAGCTCCGCAGGACTGAAGGAAAGCTGGGTAATAGTACTGGCCAGCTGCGAGTTCTGCATGCCTGTTTCTAAAGCGATGGTGCGGCACCTGCAACACGTTCATGAGAAATAAACCATCACAAAGTGTTTTTCTTCAGACATTTTGCCACATTTATTGACCCCTTACAGGATTTGCGCTAACTGTTCCAACAAACCATCTAATGCCTTGTGGGAAGACAAAATTTACAGATTTTTACCTGTACCAAGGTTGTCCCACAAAGCGTGCCAGGAGAAAGCCCAGGCCAAAGCCAATAAATGGATAAATGGTACCAATGATCCAAAGTGAAGGAGCAATGGTCCATGAGGACTGATACAGAACACCACCTATGACTGCAATGATGATGATTAGGAGGATTCCTACCACAGATCCCACCTATACATACAAAAGCAAAACACTTGTGAAGCTACATGGAATGCATACGAGTTTACAATATTAAACACAGAAACAAAAACTTACCTTGAGGATCTTTTTGGCTGCTTTGGGCCACCTGTGTTTTGTGTATATCCCAAGACAGACAGGCACAAGTAAAGTCACTAGTGTGATTCCTGGAAAAATCATCAGCAACATTTAAGACTAAACAAATGCATAAAATGGAAAATCTTGTGTTTCGGTCATTTGAGGCTGGTTTACCGATGCTGTCGTAAGGGATCTGGATAGCATCGCCTGAAGTCCAGACTGTGGTGTAGACGAACAGACAAAGAGGCATCATTCCCAGAGCCAGAATTGAAGAACATGCTGTCATGCTGATGCTATGGGCGGCAGAAATCAGCATTTAGTTGTGCTCTAAAAATGGTCATTCTGTCTTTATAAACATGCATCAATGGATTACGATAAATCGAATCAAATTGCAAGTGCTGTTCAAATAATTTGGGTCTAGTTATGCTAAAGGACAATAAAGTATTTTAAAACTTTCTCAAATACACTATAAATCACAGTACCTTTATTATTATACTAAAATAATAAACAATAAAATATTATATAATAAAGACAAAAATAATTTTGAAATTCTACATGATTTTAGAATCAAGTCCCATCTATAAATATAATTTACTAAGCAGATAAAATAGCAAAAAATCTAGTTCAGCCTAGTAGACATCTTATGCGAACAATTAAGTAAATCTACAAATGACACTGCTGCATTTAAAACCACAGACTTCGTTTAAAAGAGCTGGTGTTTACACACAGTTCATTTCTGGGATCTAGAAAGCCTTCAGTGTTACAAGTAACAAAGATATTGAAAAGTGAACAGATTGATAGTCTTACCTTAGGTCCATGTCTCCATCAAGCCAGTAGCAGAAAACATTGGAGCTGGAACCTCCAGGGCAACAGCCCATGATGATGATAACTATAGCCTGGATTGGAAGCACGTTGAAAATCAATGAAAGCGCAAAGGCTGTGAAAGGCATGATGCCAAACTGGCACAGGAAACCGATGAAAATGCCCCAGGGTCTGCGGATGTGCACCCAGAGCTTTCTTGCTTCGACAGTGCAACCCATTGAAAACATGACCAAGGCCAGCATGATGGTAAGCGTGGTGCTCATCACCATGCCGAGGATGTCATTGAACGGATCACGGGGCACCAGGCAGGACGTGCCCATGCAGATGGTGGCATTTACGGGGCAGATGGGCTCTGGTTGCTCGCACATGTTGACTAAAGTGAGTTTGAATTAAGTGGGGAAGAAATAAAAGTAGGATCCTGTAGGGAAGATGGTGTAGATTCCAATCGAAAGGTTGCAGAGATGATGCTTCTTTGAGAAAAGGCGCTAAGATTCCAGAATGTTTCTATACATTTTCCAAAACACCTTCTTTCCCCCCTCAGATCCCTCTTTCCTGCATCCCGGGTGACAAAAATTGAACTTTTACCTGTCTCTTAGAGCTTTAATATATGTCTGGGGTCTATAAAATTCAGAGAAAAAATGTTGAAAAATAATTAACTTGCTGCAAATGTTTTATGGGGTCAGTGTCCAAATGCCAACACATCAAATAAAGAGAGGGCGAGAAAAAAGAAAAGAAAAAGAGAATGTAATTGTTCAGGTTAAGTTCAGACACAATAAATGCAATTGCACCCTCTTGCCATTTTATAACACTGTGGCACTTAAATTTTATTGTTTTTCTCCAGGTATGGCCCTGTACCATCACCACACCCGCTGTTTCTGAGTGGAGAAGACATGATGCCTACCTGACCCAAAACTGAATGTGCGTCATACGGATGAAAAAAAAGTCATAAACTGTATGATTCTCTTTAAAGGATCCTTTAGAGATATAGGAGACAATAGGAATGCATGATACCTCACTCACATTTCTTTCAATACAATAATGCACACACGTATACCCTGTACCTTTAGTAAGTAAATGTTTTATTATTTATTTTTTTTATTAAACAGTTTGAGGCGCTTATATAACTACATAAACAGTATAACATCTGTAAGGACACTTAGGTGCAAAGTACATTGATGGAATTGGTATATACAGCTCTCACAGGGTATGTAAAAAAATAAAAACATAAAAAATTAGCTTGTTTAAGGCTCTTTCAGCTGAAGGTCCCTTTTAATTGCTAAATACTATGTATTTATGAAGCTCTATTCCAGTCTTTGCGTGCCTTTTGTGGGGTTACATACCAAGCAGTTATTACACTAAGAGATTAATGAAACTTCTAAACATTTTGAACTCTGAATTCTAAAAGTTAAAAAATTAATTCAAATCCCATTATTTGAAAAGAAAGAAGTAATAATAAACAGTTCCTGAATATGTAGTTTTGGTATTGGGTTAAAATACTTGGCAAATTGAATGGATTTTAGTGTCTAAGCAACTGCAACTGAAAAAACAGTAATATGCTTTACTCAGTCAATGAAAATGACCTTGTAATACGCAATAAGAATGTTAACCTCGGGTGAAATGACAAAACCCTCCTTACCACAATTAATTTAGGAAGAGTAATGTCCGAAAAGTGTGTAACATAGACCATAGCACACCAAGTTTACAACAAACCAGGGAGAAGAAATGACCCAAGAGATCAAATTCAAGAGTAAGAAGTCTTTTTGTTATCCATTCACTGTAATCTGAAACTGATCATATCATGCGGGTACATTTTGGTTTCATCTCCAAAAGTAAAAGCAAGATTTAAAGTTGAACAGTCACTCGTAAACATTCAGAGCAACACTTTCTGTCATTTTATTTAGAAGAACAAATATTGCACTTGACTATACAGCAACAGACAGGGATGTGCATTTGTGGAATACCCTAAGATCTCACTAAAATATAAATGTTGTTAAATCATACACTTGATTCCTGGATCATTCAGGGAGTTTATACAGAGCTGCATGAATCCTGAAACCAGTAATATTGTGATACCAGCCTCTGCATTTGAAAATAATAAATACATAGATTCAATAATTAAATGGTTTAAATCAGTCATTTTCAAATTGGTTTTATGACATTGGGTCCAGACCTCAGGTTTGTCTTTGTGACGTGTGGAAAGGCAGTGCAGTACACTCACGACTGTTTAGCATTGAGCTGTAGATTTCCTGTTACATGTGTTATGAAACACCTGAGCAGATAAATCCCAGAGAACTGGACTGAACTGCAAGTCAAAGGAAGGGGAGAGAGAGAAAAAGGTTACGAGTACATGTTATAATGTACGCTACTTATCACCTTATCTGTGAAAAGTGACTTCCTGCATTGACACACAAAGCAAATGCAACTGTTTCCAGAACTCCTAGCTTTATCTTATCAGCAAGCTGATAACCATCTGACCACATTAACATTTTTCATCTAACAGAGAGAACCTTCCTCGTTTCTATAAAATGACAGGTCAGATGCACTGATATATCTGTATAACAGGATTTATCTAATTGCTGGTGATCAAGAGTACCTCAGTTGCACACTCACATAAAACCAAAAGAAGTGATGAAGGATGAGTGTGCATTATAAACTCATTACTGCTCATATGCTCATCAGCAAGATGGCATGTGAAATATCTTATAACATTCCAATGACACCATCATTTTTGTAACAATCCATGATATGGCCGATGTAGCTGAAATGCAGACACCAACAGCAGTGTAATTTTCAGCAGCCATTACTCAATAAACATTTCTTATTAAGTTATTAGATTAATATTCTCTTTAGGTTGCACTGCTTAATATTTTTGTGGCGATCATGATGCATTCTTTTCGGGATTATTTGATGAATGTAAAGCTTAAAAGAACAGCATTTATTTGAAATTTTATTTAAAAAAAATATATATTTTCTCTTTCATTGCTACTGGGATTTTTTTTTTTTTAACAATCTGCTGATTTGACGCCTAGATAATGTTATTTAGCTGGCTAACATAAATGAGGTTTGCCAGAATTGACTTGTAGTAATGTTTCAGCAAATGTGTTTTTTTGAATTAATGGAGTTACATTATGTCTCTATATTTTCCAGCTTGTTGCAAAGTTTCTTTTTGTTGAACCCTGTTTGTGTGTAAACTTTTCTGAATGCAAAATGATTATCATTATAACATAAAAAGAAATTACAAAAGAGAGTGCGTGTCTGCATATCTCACCTTACTAGAAATGGCTGTGGGAAACACGTGCTGGTTTGATTTTTAATAAAGTCCCGAAGCTGTAGAGTAAGAGCCAACAAAGTACCCTGTCGGGTTCTGTCTATTTTAGTTACCACCAGCTAAAACATGATAAAGAGAAAAAAAGGTTATTTTTTGGCATCCTTTATATATATATATATATAAAAATGCATTATTTCCAATGAAGAGACAATAAACTCATGTTGTATCTACATCTGTTATCTACATCCATATTAAAAACAGAGGCCTCGACACAATGCCAAGATACTTTCTCTGACACTCACTATGAAAAGTACACAGTGAAATTTTGTATTTCAAAAAATCTAACTTTGAATGGAATCCCCAAAAATCCCAAGTTTCAGGTGTTTTAGTTTATTTTGATGCTTTCTTTTGTCTGAGGCCCTCTGGTTGCAAACCACTGATCTAGACGGAGATGTTGATAAGAGCATATAGTACTCTAACGACCCCTGCTGGGCAGTCACAGTAAGAGCATAAGAGACAAACTCACCACATAAGGTAAATTGAACTCCTCACACATCTCCACAGCAACTAAATCTGCCTTCTGCAGACCTGCACCTCCATCCACCAGCAAGAACGTCCTCACCAGACTAGAGACACATAAATGAGGAAATCAAAGAAAGAAAAACTTTGAATTCTATCACTCATTTATATATAATGAGACAAGCTTTATAATTTACTTTTTTATAAACTCAACACAAGCATGCAAAAACAAATATCAGCATTGTGAACAAATAAAAAAACAGCATCAACTTCAACCTACTTCTGACGATCTAGAAGGTACGGTTCAACCATCTCTACAAAGTCCCGTGGGGCATTGTATCCATACCCCGGCATGTCTACAAGCGTAAAGGCCTTTCCCACAGTGAAGAAATTCAGCTTTTTGGTGTGGCCCTGTGTGAAAATGAAGACTGAGAATGAGTCATTTCTGACCATGGAGTACTGAACGGCAGAGAACATCCGACATACAGACTCACCGGAGTTTTAGAGACCCGCACATCTACCTCCGGCGCAAGAGAGAACAAGGCACGGATGAGAGAAGATTTCCCCACATTACTTCTGCCCATAAAACACACCTGCAATACAAACAAGCACTCAAAGCAAACTTGAGACACAGTTTAAAATGTCTAGTGCAGTGGTTCTCAACCAGAGGTCCGCAGGATGACTTCAAATGATTCAGAATGAATATTAATATATGAAAGCGATCTAAATGAATTAAAATGCTAAAATAAACATACAACCCAGATGTAAACTGAAATCATAATTCTTCCTCTCCCACTTTTTTGAATTCAGGTCAATTTTGAGGCCACTGTATCATTTAATCAAGTGATTACTATTAAAGACAATCTTATCTTACCTCTGGCTGTTTAAGAAGAGGTACATGGTCAAACCGGACCGCAGAAGTAGAGTAGTCGATACTATGTTTAGAGGAGGGAGTGAACAGTGTCTCTGCCTGACGGAGTTCCTCCAAGCTGGGATAAAAGATCTTGAATTCTTCCTGACTGACCTGTGAGGACAGGTGCTCCTCCAGACTGTTAAAGGGGTACAGAAGCGCCTGACGCCTCTTCTCAGGGAGCCCACACATATGTTTGATGGAGGCCAGCTGATGAACTCTCTGAGCCACCAAACCTGCTATATGTGTCTGTAGTAGAGGCAATGCCTTTGTCCTCAGCATTGTTAGAGCAATTCTTTCAGGATGACAATTGTTGCTTGTTGAAGTCAGTTTTGGGATACACTGACTGATTCATGCATTAGTCATGCAGTCATTGGGATGTTGAGTTCGCTTGCTTGATGGTTTCTGAAATGTTAATCTTTCCACTAAGATTTACTGAATCGAATAAAATGGTTCATGTCTATCCACTTGGATCCTGTGTTGGGAGTCTTTACACATACCGAAGCCAATCAGTCAGCATTTAAATCATTTTACAAATAGACATATGCATTCTGACAAGTTTTAAGAAGCTGTAATCATAATACACAACAGTGAAACACACATCTAACGTCTTATTGCAAGCCGGATGTCATCTCAAGGTCTTAAATTCATTCGATTTAAAGTTTCTTTACAGCCCAAAATGCACCTGTTCGCTCAAAAGCACATTCATAAATACTATTACATCAGTGAAATAATGTTTATGACACCTACTGTTTAAGGAGAATGCAAAAAATGCGATTTATTGAGGCTAAACCGTGCAGTTACGCATGTTACATCTGAATCAACCCGGGGGAAACAGACAGAAGAACAAAGGTTCCGCCTTATACTGAAGACACACGGGAAAAGTGTACCCTAAAGATGAATTTTTACCAAACGTATATGTTTATTTCTCACTATGCTACTATATGTTTATTGTGTATATATGGATTGTATATTGTGTGTATTGCCTTTTACAGCACTTTTACAGGGGCTTAAAGTGTAAGCACACACTTTGGTTGCTAGATTGTAAAAATTGCAAACCTCAAAGAAATAATAGAAAATAAATAGAAATCAAATTTTTCTGAAGGCAATTTTAGGCAATTTGTCTCTCAGTTTAATCTTTCAATTTATGCATGCTTTATTGGCATGACAAAAACTATACATTTGCAAAGCAACGGCATAGGCTATACAAAATGTGTGAAAAGTAAAGTACAATGACATTAGTGCAAATACTTAATGTTTACAATGGAAAAAGTAGTATAAAGTTAAATAATAATAAAAATAGCAATAGTCTGAAAGCTACAGTGTAATATTTGTGCTATTTGTACTGACATAAATCTGACCATTAGAGGGCAGCAATGTCTAACAATTATAAAACGCATAATCAGAGTTTCTCTTTTCAGAACTTTATACATTTTCAGTAGCCCACGTCTTGTTGCATTCTACAGCAGACCTAAAACAAATATTTCTTAATAATAATGATACCGACTCTTGAAAAAGTCATATTATGTAGAATTCAATTGTTTATGCATGTATTTACAGTGCATGATTACATTCATAGAAATATATAACAAACCTATTTCTTTATGCTACATCTCTGGAACTCAGTTAGGTTTATTGCTTAACTGAGTTCAGCAAGGTGTCACCCTGACAGTCACCCTGCCCGACCTTTCACTGCCAGAAAGTGAATGGGTACAGTTGTGAATTTATCCCTAGTAAGAATGTGAGCTGTAATGGCCTTTAAATCAGTATAGGGCTGCTGTACATACCACAGAGAGTTGAAGGGAGCAGTTATGGGGACGGTTATTGCCCACTATCTAAAATATTTATAGAGCTGTAGGAAGAGGACGTTACAGCCAAACCTGGAACAACCTCCAATATCCTAATTCAACCATCAGCTATTACTGGATAAACCAGCATACTGACATGAGATCAGCCAGTATGAGCTGCATAACCTAGCATTTATAGCTTTCTTACAAAAACCCAGACTGGAATAACAACATAAACCAGAGAAAACTCGCTTATATCTGTAAACTGTATTAAAGAAGGACTGATGACCTAAACTTAGCCATTCCTTATGAAGGCACAAACTGAATTTCCTTTCTCAACACTAAACCCAATGGGCAGACACACAGATCACATTGATAAAGAGAGAGATACTGTATGTGAAGTGTGAAAAAAATGGAAGGAAAGTCTAGTAGGCGGAGAAGAATTGATAAGCAGCTAAATGAGTTTGGAATTGAGCACAGGAGTGAATAATGAAAGAATCAGAATACTAAATGGAAATATGGAAAGAACTAGATGGATGCAGATCAGAGGCGGACAGTAACTAAGTACATTTACTTGAGTATTGTACTTAAGTACACTTTTTGAGTATCTGTACTTTACTTGAGTATAATTTTTTCTGGAAACTTATGACTTTAACTTCACTATATTTGAAAGACAAGTATTGTACTTTTCACGTCCCTACATTTCTATCAAGATCCGCAAAGTAGAAAGTCGTTAGCAGCTTTGAAAATCAGTGGGTGATTTTTTTCTTCTCTAAAACGTGACTTTCTATTTTTCAGACAGTTTATCAGTAATCACTCTTGGGGCTACATGAAGTGATTTCCCAGCATTTTTTGAGCACTGACCAGTTCCAAATGTGATATTTATTTACAACAATTCAATAATAAGAAGTTAATATTGTGGTATATATTAGACACAATATTGTCTGATTTTGCTAAATTGTGTAGGTGAAAATATTACCTATAAAGCCACAGAAGGACTGTTGTGC